ATGATTTTTCTGACATCAGTGTATGGACTGACAGTTTATCATCACACACTGGATATTATGTGTGTATGTTCTTTGGAAATATTCAGGGGTTTTTGCTTTGGCTCTGTGTGTATATACATGTATGTGTGTGTGGTATGTGTGTAGTTTTATAGCTTTGGTTTTTTTCCTCAGGATTGGTGGAATTCCACATCCTACTCCAACTATTACAGGACCTGGAACGTGGTGGTCCATGACTGGCTGTATTACTATGCTTACAAGGACTTTCTCTGGGTAAGCAGCAGGATTTAGTTGATGTTGTTCAAGAAATGGAGAATCTTTTCCAGAAAGTATTAATATTGTATAGCTGGAGGAAGTTATACTTAGTTGTCTTTAATTCTCTTATGAGCCATTTATGTCTAAGAATTCTTCTGCCTTGAATAATACTGCTGAGAGACCAGTATTGACAGTTACTGCGTCTAATACCATGTTTTCATTCTGGATTTTACTTTATATAATTACCAAGTAAGAATGCAGGCAAACATTCAGATAAGTTGAAATGATCCACCATGTATGGATCATTTCTTATGGATCTCACTGATAACAGATAATCTCCCTCTAACTTTTTCTTCATTTACTTTCTTTTTTTTAAAATCTGTTCAAAGTGGAGAACCACCCTATGTATGGACTTAACATCTCTCCAATTGGTCATGTAGGTCTTTGAGACATTCTTCAGAGCAGAATGTATTTAGACTGATGAAATGAAATCTTGAATCTCATGGTTGATTAATGCTGGTGTCTCCTCCGGATTATTGGCTAAGTGATAGCGTGTTGTAGATCAGATAGCATTGTATTCGAGTGTTCTTTCCTTAATATGTGTAGTTTCACTTATGGACAAAGCACGTCTCTTCTTTCTAAATCTTAGTTCTGTTACCTGTAAAAATGGAGAGGACGCCTGCCCTGTCGACCATACTGTGCTACTCTAACGGTTGAGATCTGATGTGTTCATTAATATATAAAAACCATGTTTTGTCCATCAGTGACTTACCAGTATAAGTTATTAATGTTTTTAAAAATATGCCCGCTCTCCCTTCCAACATTATTAGATTTGAAAATGCCTTATTTGAAAATAAGGATTTTTAAGCATAGGTGTTTTTTTTCTAATTATATTATAATACATTTGGGTTAATCCAAGGAGCAGATTGGCAAGTCCAATATAAATATAATTAAATTGATGCCTTTAACGTGATAATTATAAGTCGTATGTAGTTTGTGATTAGTCACCTTTTAAAAACTGCTTTCTAATGCTTTCCTCTTACCCTAGTTTTTCACTAAGAGATTCAAGTCTGCTGCCATGTTAGCCGTCTTCGCTGTGTCTGCCGTCGTGCACGAATACGTCTTAGCGGTTTGCTTGAGCTTTTTCTACCCAGTGCTCTTCGTGCTTTTCATGTTCTTTGGAAGTAAGTACCTTGGCATGCCATGAGGACTGAGGCTGATGCCAAAAGAGAAATTTAGAAAATAAAGTATGAAATCAATGCAGGAAGCTAGACAGTGAGCAGTAATATCATCTCAAGGCAGTGTTTGATTATCAGAGGGAAAAGAACATTGATTTTGAGTAATTATACACAACTCTGTTTCAAGATGTTTATACTTTGAAGTAGAGAAATGAGCCACATAACCTCTTGCAGACTGTTGGTAACACTAATTTGGTAGGTCACAAAAACAATAAAAAACAACTTCTCCATTCTTCAACTCTATCATTGTTCACCCGCTGGAAAAAACTGACCCTTTTTTGGGTGGAGGGAAAGGATAAGCTAGAATATGAATGATTCCAGGAAATATATTTTCACCTGTTCTGAATACTGTCCGATTTTTAATTAATCACTGATTAATAAACTTCAACACTGAAGCTTCATTTTTATTTATAGGAGCAGTGGCCAGAATAAACCATGTCCGCACAGTTGATGCTCATTGTGATACATAGATGATTATAGCAGCTATCTGAGGCTGCTTAATAGATTGTCTTGATATATATTTTTTGTTCTCTTCCTGACTTTAGTGGCTTTCAACTTCATTGTCAATGACAGCCGGAAAAGGCCGATTTGGAACGTCATGATGTGGACTTCACTTTTTGCAGGCCAGGGGGTCATCCTGTGCCTTTATTCCCAAGAGTGGTATGCACGTCAGCACTGTCCTCTGAAAAACGTGAGTCAGCTCTCAGGCTGCAGTGGAGAAGTGACATGTTTGTCCCCGATTGTGAGGGTTGGAGAGCAATTTTAAGGGGAAGGACATTAGTGGAGATTGTGATGAATTAATGTTAAGCGGAGAGAAACATTATCTGACCTAATGTTCTTAAAATTTTTTCTTTTGCCTTTTTCTTCACTTTGAACTCTCCTACTTGGTGCCCCCTCCCCTTTTTTTTAAATTTCCTACTCTTTTACTGCTTTTTCTTTAGCTCCTTGTAATTTTCTTCCTGTGTCTTAAAAATGTAGGAAATGTGTATCCTATCCTCCACACACACCTGAATATATATGTATATTTTACCCCTTCCTTTCCAAAGTATTGTCTTTGTAAAAAGGTCCAGCTACACTCACATGCCTAGGATCCCGTTTCCCTTGATTTTCTTTTGTTGCTATTGTTGTTTGATTTTTCATGATTACATAAGAGTCTCATTCTTAGAGCTTCAGCTTTAAGCTGCATGTGGATGACTCCCAAATAATTAGGAGGTGCCTTCTTTATATACCCAGGTATTTCTCACAGGCACCTGTAACTGAAGATGCCCACAATCAAATTAATCAGTTTCTCTGCCAAAGCTTCTACTGTCTACACTGTTTCTGTCATGCTGCCCTGATGCTCCCTCCTTATTTCCTATTAATCCTCTGTGTGCATTTGAACTAACTGCTCTGGACTACTAAAAATAGGGGTGTGCTAAAATAAAATGCACGATACCTAAGGAGTGTAGGACCTATTTGACATTTGGTCAGAAGGGCAATTGTGTGGGGTTTACTGGACTTTAAAAGCTTCATGTAAAGCCTCTACACCAGGGGTGGGCAAACTTTTTGACTCGAGAGCCACAATGGGTTCTTAAACTGGACCGGAGGGCCGGAACAAAAGCATGGATGGAGTGTTTGTGTGAACTAATATAAATTCAAAGTAAACATCATTACATAAAAGGATACGGTCTTTTTTATTTTTAGTTTTATTCATTTCAAACGGGCCGGATCCAGCCCGCGCGCCGTAGTTTGCCCCCGGCTGAGCTAGTCCCACCCACCCACTCCAGCCTTCCCTCTGAGATTCAGGAGCTGTG